TAAATCAACTTTCCTTCCCCTTTTCCAGCCATGATAATTGTTTCAATAACATGATTGCCCATCTTAGTTACGACCATCTTTGTGCCATTACACAAACCTTGAATCTGATTAATGTTCCTTAAAAGCATAATAGGTGTTCCAACATTTAGCTTAGTGAGATGGTTTGAAAAACCAGATGTTTTCAAGGAGTTGAGAAACTCGGGGCTTAGGACATCAAGGAAGTTGCTGTCATGTATTTTAGAGTGATCGACAGTGTTTGAGTTGTAGTAATCCTGTAGCTCACCTATATATGAAAAGGATAAAAGTATGAGGGTAAAGAAAAAAAATAAAGTGAAATTGAAAAACATAATTGGTAACTATACCTGGTATTAATGCAAGAACATGATCATTGATTTGATCAACAACTTCCAATGTTGGTGCTAGTATGGCCCGACCTTTGAGGTAATCGTATGAATGATAACTATCAATGAAATCTGGGTAAGTACTATTGACAATAGAAACAACATGATCAGTAAAGTCTATGATTAAAATCTAAAGGGGCGCGTCAATTTCGGCAAATCCGTCATTTGGTTCATAAACTCTTTCACCAATTTATAAAAGCCAATTTGAGAAGGTAGCAATTTCCTTTTTTTCCCTCTTCACTTTGTCCATAATGCAAACACATGTTCTTGGTTAAAGTCAAAAATTTAACAGAATGCCATACATAAGAAGCGTTTATTGATGAGTGGACAATATCGGAATGACTCCCTATAGGCACAACAAGTAAAATTTCTCTAAAGTCACAAATAAAACATCATCAGAGTTTGTGTAGGTACTCGTTACATCCTTCAACATTCGATCAAGTGCCTCAAAAGCATGCTTATGAGACATGGGTGCCTCGTCACAAATAATCAGCTTTGTTTTCCATAAAAATCCTACAACGTCATCGTCGTAGTCAAATTTGCAAGTAGAAGTTTCCAAAGTTGAGTCAGGTATTTCGAACATAGAATACACTATTCTACCTCCCGGTAACAAAAGATTGATATTCCACTTGTTTCAGCCGTCAAATAGATATCATGTTTTGATCTCAATGCACTTGCAAGTTTTCTCCACACATAAGTCTTACATGTATTGCCATAAACATGGAAGGAAAAAACACCACCTCTTTGAGCATTGACCGTGTCAATGATTTTAGTGTATATACTCCTTTGTTAATCTAAACAAATAATGGAAAAAATATTTGTAAAAATGATATACAACAGCTAGATGTTTAAGACCTGAAATGTGAGCATATAAAAGTTAGGAAAGACTTAAAAAGTAGACAGAATGAAAAACCAGTAAGAGCATTGTAAAGAGAAGCAAATTCGGCTTTCATGGTTGGGACATCATAATTATGTTCATCATAAATGAGTCGGTTTCCCAGTTGTTGAATAACATATCCATTTGGATATGAAATTGGTTTGAAATCGGTGAGACTTCTACAATTTCCATGAAGTAAAGTCTCAGTTACAAGTAAGGTACAAATTTTCAAATTTGAATCACTCAAAAGCAAGTTTATAAGGAAAGTCAAGAATAGATTTGTAATGTTAGACAATATTAAACTTGAGGGTTGCATAGGTCTTAGATTATCGTAGTAGTTATAATATGATCAACAACGAAATCTATGTATAATGAGATCAGTAAATGTCAATACATGATATCAGTTAAAATCCGAAAGTGATTCGATATAAACACTGAAAGGTATGTATAATGATATTAGTGTTGGTTACAATAGATCTGGATTGTATGCTATCTGCCTTTTTTCGTGCAAGAACCCATCATACAATAAAATCCAGGTTTGATCACATACATGAGCAAGTTGGTTAACTACACCTAACAAAATCATAACGAGGAAAAGCTTCCAAAGAAAATGACCTAAACCTCATTGAGTGGCTTCTCTGATAGAATTCAGTAACACTTTCTTTTTCTAATATTGATTCAGTAACACTTGCTTTTTCTAATATATTATCCATTATATCAAAACCAGTATAATATACAACTTTCTATCCAATCAGATGAAAGGACATATGTTCCACAACAGGGGGCCAACATGCTTTGTAACACCCTTCTAAACCCCACGGAAAATATATGAATAATCAGAGTAAATAATCATGCATTCCCAAAAGGGCGTCACACATAACTTTCAAACATCAAAAACCACCTGTCATGCTCATTAACACTTCAATAAATAATCATGCTTTTCAAGGTTTCACTTTGCATGTAGCAGCGGATTCAATTATATCTCAATCTTCGTAAAAGAAACATTTGAATTCACCACCTTAATCAACATCATTAGGCACTGGGGCAAACATCATAATAATTTGATAAATATAAAAACATAGTATAGAGTACATAATGTATCTATAAAATATATAAACCAAGCGATCCCAGTGTTACATGACCAGAGCATGACTCGACCCAATGACTAGATACATATACAATGTATCACAAAACAATCCTATACATCCTAACTAACCGACCCAAAAGATGAAGGCACGCTTCACAAAAAGGACCTCCCGTCAACCTACTCTGCAATGTCTCATAGAGCACCATAAAACAGCAGAAGGGTGAGAAATATTATCATAATTAATCAATGCATATAATCATGTATATATATACACAAGCATAGAATACACATATTCCACATTTTCCACCCAATTCATCATACACATCACAATGTATATTTAAACAAATATGGATAATCACCAAGCATATTTCATCATGCATACATCCATAATTCACTCATTCCACATAAACATTTACAATTATGTTTATTCATCAATTCACAACTCTCAGTTCAACAATCCATACATATATGCATACTTCATACAACAATTATATATATGCCATGTGACTCAATGCAACTCATGCCATGTGGTACCAACATTTGTTATCATTTTTCGGTTTTTACACTTAAACCGGGTTCGTTCCCTAGACCGATAACAACAAAAGCCCATTCCCTAAGCTTTCAAACCCCGCTCTAGGTTTGGGACAAGTCACTAGTCTCCACGAAACTAGCAAGTATTTCCTCTTGACCAAATGATGTGTATGCAATCAACAATCATATGCACTTAAGACCGTTCTCGCATCTTAATCCCATGCATACTCAAATAATTCATCACACAAGAATTATAACATGATTGCACACACAACACATTTCATAATAATCAAAGTATTCATACTTTCAACATCATCACTACATTCATCAAGTAGTACACAAGAATCAAATAGATTCAATCACAAATACATATTCATGAATTCTTCACATACAATCGCATACAATCGATATGCATTCACATTATCGCACCAAACGGCAATGAACTTCCTCACAATCATCATACACTTTTAACCAATTAAACAATGCATATATTTGCCAAAAGGCCACATTTCACATTCGATTCCACAATCTAGGATTCACGCCATGCGGCTACCCACAGCATAACATATCACAACATACAACTATGCCTCAAGAGAAAGGGTTAATCAATTCAAATCGAAGAATCGACATTGGATGGAAACAGCAAGAAAATCAAACACTGTCACGCTTACTGGACCACTCGCCTAGCGAGGTCCTATGGAACACTCGCTGCTGGTTCGCCTAGCGAACAAGCTCATGAAGACAAACAGAAGCTACTGGAAGGATTCGCTACTGGCTCACTGGAGCCTCACTTAGCGAACAACTCGCTACTAGCGAAAAGGATCATTTCCATTCTGCCCAAGTCTGGGGACGTTCGCTGGCAGCTCGCTTAGCAAACACTCGCCACCCTGCTCGCCTAGCGAACGTGCTAGCGAGCGTCTGTGTACTCCAAAACCCCAACTGTCCAAAAACCTCAGAAATGGACTCATCAATGGACTCATAATCTTGCAATGTTTTGGATATTGCAGGTACTATAGTGGATGTGATTCGGGCACACCCCTTATGTATGTATTTGAAAAGATATTTAATTGAAGTACTTTGGTTACATCATTCCATATTGATATGCGTCTGATATTTCAATAGCAACCTTGTATTATATGGAACAACATGCCTATTTTCCAAAGGAATGCCATTTTTGTGAATAAAGTGTGTATAACATCTTCTTCGGTAAAATGGATAACCCTCGTCATCAACAATTGTATTCTCAATGAATTTCTTCGAAAAGTATATAGAACACTTTCTATTCTTCATACATGGGGAGGAAGGTCGTGATAGACCATAAAGACCATGGATCATATGTGCCTTGACTAAGTTTTATAAGGTTGAATACAGTTCAGGGTTTGGAATCTCTACACAAATAATATTATCTATGTTGGATGGTGTAAGATACTTGCTTTGAGAGTGCAGGAAGATTAAAATATGAGCATGTGGTAACCCTTGTTTTTGAAATTCAACGGTATACATATATGAAAACAAAAAAAAAAGAGGGAAAATGTCAACTACAATGTAGGAAAAGCATTACAATTAAAGTAGTTATGAAATTTGTAAGACGTACGTACATGCCAACACTCTGCCGAGAATATGTCTTTAAGTTAAATTCAGCATGAGCTCATCAAATTTGATTTTGATGACTTTAGAAATGATGTATGGTCGATCATGTGGCTTTAAATTTTTATTCAAAAGCAAGTGTGTAATTTCAGGCCAAGTGGGATTGCAAGTAAATGTAATGAATAAATCAGGAAAACCTATCTTACTTGAATTGTCATACCATCAAAATATAGTTGATCCATGTATCTCTTTCTTCCAAAAAAAGAAGATGGTAACACAAATCGTTTTCCCTTTTTCCCCCTTCCATGTTGTTAATTACTTTCAGATTGTCCATGCAAATTATTATATTTGCAAACTCTTAACTTATTGATTCTTCCTCAACCAATTAATACGTTCAGACTCCATCATAGCATAACCATCTACCAATAATTGGTTGGAATAGTTTTCTAGAAAACAACAACGTTTTAGCCTCATTTGTGCATTCATGTAAGCGGAAAGAAAGCTAATATTTAATGGATTATAGATTTTTTCTTGTAACCAAATGTCCGTTCTTATACTTGTGAAGTATGTTATCCCTGTAACCATTTTCACCATAGAAAAATATCAAAGGGTATTGGTATATCAGGTAACTCGAATGCAATTCCTCTACTCTTTGCAAATTACCATCACATGCTTGGATAATAATTTCTCTATGAGAACCCACATCAATATCACCAACAATGAGTACAACAACTTCAAAAATAGACGGCCTGTTATAGACACGCCCATCCTCTGGTCTAGCAGCAATAAGCTTCAACTTCAATTCTAAGAATGAATTAGCCTTCAATATATCCCTTGACATTCTAAAGGCTTTAGCATGTACGTTACAATCGTCCAACATAGACTTTAATTTTGAAACCACCTCTCTTTCAACATTTTTACTATCCCTATTGGTTTGAGTAATTAAGTAGGTCAAATAGACAATGTATGTTTGATCAAACGTAGCAGCTTAAGTAAAAAGATGCAGTACCTGAAGCAATCCATATTGTTGTCAACCTCATGGTCAGTGTCAAAAATACACAAGCATGAATTGCTTATGATATATGAGAAGATGATATTTTATGCTCATTTTCCTTTGAATTGTGTAAAACAACTTAGAAAAAAAAAGATTTTCATTGAATTTCAAATAACATAAAGATTCAAATTTATGGGCATTATGTGCCATTGATGTGCAACCTAATGTGCTTTGTATTTCAGTATAACTTATCACTTTTTCAATTGAAGCATATCAAAAGATGTGTTACAAAATATTCTATAGTGAACTGAGAAAACTTCAACAAATAAACTTTAGCCCTTGGTGTTATATATTCGGAACTCCAATGTTGTGATTATGTCTAAATATTGTAGGTGTCCACCTAATGGATATTATGGATAAAATTATGGATAATGACTACCTCACAAGAAAACCTCATCTAAATAAAATTATGGATACAATTTTTAATATGGATGAAAAATAAGATTTAGGTCCTAATGGATATGGTGGTTATTTTTTCCAAACATACTGGGAAATTGTAGGTGCAAATGTGATCAAATTAGTTTCCATATTTCTTAGAAGAAGAAATAAAGGAAGCAGTATGGAATTGTAACGGTAATAAGATTCATGAGTCAGGCGGTTCCAGTTTCAGTTTTTGTCAAAACTGTTAGGAGACGGTAAAAAAGGATGTTTTTTGTTTTGTGAATAATTTCTACTCCAACACTAGATTAGGAAAGGTAGTTACAACTTCGTTTCTAACTCTGATTCTTAAGATAAAAAATATGCAAAATGTGACCAACTATCAACCATAGTAGGTTTCCTCTTGTCTTGATTGTTTTCAACACTATAATGCCTTCTCCAATGGATTCATAAAGATTGGCTAAAATTAATTCGCTAAGACAAATGTCATATCCAGCGTGTAATTGATTAGCCATTATTAGGTATCTCTTTGCCACTTGAAGAGACCTTGAACAAAAGACGCACCGGGAAAGCCAAAGAGCCAGGAAAGCTACGTGTTCTTGATCAAAAACTTCCTCAGTTTCTTTATCATGGTAGTGAGCTATGTAAGTGGTGAAAGCTGCTTTGTTCATGTCGAAGTCTATGGAGTCATCAGCTAAGAGGTTGGGATCCTAATTTACTTCAATGAGTTTGAGGCATGTGATGAAAGCAACGTCGAACAAAGTGGGAGTTACCATTTCACAAGGGAGTTAGAAGTTGTTGTGAGTACTATCACAAAAATAAAGGGAAGTAATCAGCATAGATGGGCGATAACCAGGCCCAACCTTCGACAACTAAATCATGTCAAAGATTCCCATGTCTTTCCAGACTTGGGATTTTGCTTTCTATACTTTCTATAACCAAGTGAGATAATCAGAAGGGTCTTTAGACATAGGACATGACCTAAATACCCTAAAACTGTTAATCATGTACTCTAAGTTGATGGGATCTCTAGAAGCTATAGTCAAAGGAGAACCTTGACCATCGACCTTGGTTTTCTCATCAGCCTTAAGTTCCTCACCAGTCCTAGGTTTTTGACCACTAGTTATGGGCTTATAACGATGGTAACTAGAAAGAATTCTTTAACCTTAGCAGGGTCAGCAGTAACGTCAAGAAGAGGACCTAGCATAATGTTTATCTTACCAGAAATAAGAATGGGAATGAGTATCTGGGATTGGTAAATTCTGCATTTTTCTTCTTCATGAGGTGGCCTAGGGATATACTGTTGATTGCCTACTACATGGGGACCCAGAATTTTGTCAACTGGAGCAAGCTCTCCAGATTTCTTGGACTCCTTAGTGTGTTTGTTGGTATCCTTGGAAACTTTGGTTGAAGAAGCCATTGTTGGGATGAGTTTGCAGAAAGAAGATTTGAAAAAGATGAAGATTTGAGAAAATGCGCTCAAGGAAGTTTAGAGAGTGAAAAGTGTGAAAATAGATATTTTTTGCTATTTAAAGGTGTACGAAGTGAAAACATTTACTGTACATATTAATGGTGATAAGAATCATGGGACGCGTGTCACGTAAGGATTGTGTGATGAGACAATAGTAGTTAAGTCTGACTCACGATCTCCTAGGGACTAGACGTGATAATTGAGAAAAGATTCACATATGGGTTTGAGGAGACGTTTTGGAAAAGTTATCATGATGATGATGATGTCATAGCAGACCAAAGGTTTCTGGCGTCAAAGGCAAACTTCAAAAAATGTCATTTTCTCCATTCAGTGGAAAATGACATTTTTGGAGAGCAATTTGTTGGCTGGAAATTTTGACGCCAAGCTTTTTGGCATTTAAGTGAAAATCAAGTTTCTTGAATTTTACTGACTTCGACAGGGATTTGTGTGAGAAGTTTGGTCGAAATCGTTTCCATGAACGAGACGTGTTTAGACAATACTTAGAAATATTTCTAAGTATGGAATAACAACTTCGATGAAGGATGTGTAGCCTTCCTTCGACAGAAATTTGAAATTCAAAATAGGGATAAATAACTATCTTTTGTCCTTATTCGTTTCTCAGGAAAGACGCACGGAGATTCATGGCGAAATGAAGGCATGCATGGGCGAAACGTGTCAACTTTTATAGAATTGTCTATTGAAGGTAGTTATTTCAACTTGTTATAAATAGGAGTATTAGTGTTGGATTTCTGTGTGTGTTCATTATTGTACAAATACTCAAAAATATACTCAAAGTATCTAAATCAATTGATAAAAGAGTTTGTCATTGGGAAATATACGTTGAAACACCATCTTTATTTTAATAGAAAGTTACTTTCATTTATCAATTGTTCTTTATTGCTCCTTTACTTTGAAGTTTTCTTCATTGCATTTTCTTTATCAATTTTTATAAAGTTTATCTTTCTCTCAAACAATCAAAATAATCTTTCATATAAATGAATACTGTTGAAGTATTCTTCAATTTTTCATAAATATATAGAAACAATAGCTATGTCCTTAGAATTCACTGATTAATCCTACAACTAAACCAATTTTTTAGAAAACTAGTGGTTGTTTACCAATTCTAACGCTATACATATATCAATATTGATAGTAACTTCTTGATGTATACCTTCATGTAGACATCAATATTTGAGTCATGCTTGATGTCTCAAAATTGATAGTAGCTTCCTTATGCATCCTCAAAGTAGTGTGTTAATTGTTGTTATCCGAAGATATCTCGGTATTTTCCTTTTCATTAGCAGAATTAATCTCTTGAGTGGGAGAAGGGTTTACAATGGTCATTTCTGAATAACAACTGTCCAAGAGCTTTCCCTTCATCTCCTTGTGATCCTGACATAAGCAGTGCACACAACATGCATTACAAGGTGAATTATGCAATCATACGTTCCAATCACAATTACAAGGTGAAAGAATCACTTTTGAATGTTTTAGTTTGTATGTTACAACTTTAAAAAAATAATCAAAATCAAAATCAGAACCACTTAATCCAAATTCATTTCAACACGATCCCCGATTTCTTTTTGTGAACATCTCATTGAATCAGTTTTCTCTGCAATGCGATCAGCATCCCCAACCTCATTTAACATACACGAATTCAGCAGAAACTTATAAGTATTCTTATTGCTACAAGTTTAATTTTCAAGAGATTGGCAACGCTTCAAAACCATCATATCATACACATTAACCAAATTACAAAAACATGTCAACTAACATCAAACAATAAGCTTTACTTTTCTCATACTTCAACAAATGCAAGAGGAAAGCCACTAACCAGAAAAGCGTTGTTGAATGACATTGGCATAAAAGGTCGCATCTAAGTTCTTATAAATAGTTACATGGTTTCCACAAAAGGAACATCTCTTAAAACTAATAAGAACTCTTTTAAAACAAGAATTATAACAACAAGATAAGTGTATGTGGATAATAAGTTTCTTAATTGAGCGTATTTGGTGTTATATAGAGCACATTCAGAACCAATCATTGAGCTATCCGACATGCAGGAACTGGCAATAATGAAAAGCAAAATTAATAATCTCGACTAATAAACCTAGAAATATTAACACAGAGAGCATAGAAGCAAAAGTGATTAAAATTTAAACTAAATATTGAAAATTTATTAGAAGTAATTCATATTTATTAGTCGTATTATTTTCTTTGCCCCTAAGTTTGTTAGAGGGTATTTTAGTATTTTTATCTTATTCTAGTAACCCTAGTGTTAACTTATAAATAGGGTAGCAATCATTGCAATTTGTGTGATTGTGTGTAGCTGTCATTCTCTTAATAGAATATTTCTCTATTCATCATTTATTCTACCTTTGCACCAACAATTGGTATCTAGAGCTCCGGTTCGGATTCATTTGGAAACACGGGAAATACGAGTGAACGTGAGGCCTTGTGTGTTTGATTTTGTTTCTTAGATTCGTGTTGAATCTTGAACAAAATCTGATCAGAAATTTTAATTTTGTGGGTTGGGAAACACTGTGTGAGAAATCTGAGTGTACTGTGTGTCGCTACTGCGAAAATCGGCACCGGCTGACAGAAGAGTCGCCACCGTGCGTTATTTATCCCTCAGAGTGGGAAAGGAAACGCTCGAAGTAAACCTCGCAAAAAACGGGGAAAAGGTATGGTCATCGCAACCAAAACCTGGGTTCGGGAGTCGGTTACGCAAGGGGAAGGTATTAGCACCCCTCACGTCCGTCGTACTCGACGAGATCCACGCTTGCTTGGGTTGTCTACTGGATGCAAAACAATTTATCTACGGCTGCTAAATCTAAACAGAAGGGAATTGACTCGATAGAGCGTCGCACTCTATGCCTACGTATTCTCAAGAGAGAAAGTCAGAGTCAACGTAGTTCGGGACTACGGGGAAAATTGGCTCGCCAAGACCTCGCGTCTTGTGCCTACGTACTTCTACTGGATGGAAGATCAGAGCTTTACGTAGTTCAGACTAACTACGGCTAAACAAAACATTCTCACACAGCAGTGAGAAAAACAACTGGCTTCACAGGGTCGGGAACCTATGGGCAAAACTATGGCTCGGTCTCAAATGCACTCGGG